GGTGCCTCCGCCTCCAGTCACATGACGGACCCTGCGCGGCCTCCCTGCTATACGCGCCTGCCGGCGGGGATAGTCTAACCTAACCTACATGACTGCGTGATATAACCTATATGAGCGCGCTTCGTTTAACGCGTCGCGCTTCGTCAACCGATCGCATATACCTCTCCTCGGCTCATACGGTTCCAAAATTTTTCCCTTTACATCTACCTTTATTTATATAGACATAGCATCGCGAGTATTTATATAAAATAATACAATTATAAATAATAATAATGATAAAAAAAATATTTCAACTGTTCGGAAAAGAAATATATTACAATGGATATAGATGGGGAAAGGGAATAAAATGGGCGAAAAAGATCGAAGGTATGACGAATCGAAAGAAAGATCGAATACGCGATCGATATGTATTTCGATAGGTATCGCGTAAACGATGCGTAAACGTGTGTGCGTGCGCGCGACGAGGACAGAGGGCTGGATTCCGCTCACCACACCCTCTTCACCCCTAATCCTAGGACGTACTGGATAACTGTATGACGCCAATACATTTGTGCCGCGTAACACGAAAAGGACGACGAATGCTTAGCATCGTCTGCGCATGACCGATCAATGCCCCTTCCTTCTCCGCAATCACCCCTCCTGACGAGCTACTACTACGTTACTACTGTACGTATACGCCCGACTACGTACCACCCCACCACCCTGTTCCCAGCGAACTAGGACTACAGCCCCTTTTCTTCGTACAGCCCTGCTCCGTCGCTGCCTCCGCTGCCCATCCCACCCGGTACTTTCACCCCCTAGAACGAGAGGAAGATCAAGAGAAGAGTGCACGGTTAAAGGAGGAGAAACGTTCAGAGGTGGAGTGAAGAAAAGACTTCCAAGACACGTCGAGACTTCTGTTTTTCCCTCTGGAGATTTCGGCAGGTTTTCACACCGTCTTCCGTGTCTCTTTTTACCGATGTCTCTACTTCCTGTCTTTTTGCCCTCGTCGCATTCCTTCTATGCCTACTCCTTTCTTCAGGAATACCATGAATCTTCAATTCGATGGATCTACTCTAGATAAAAGTCTCTCTTCTCACAGAAGAGAATTCGATATCTGAAACGATATTCTTATCCTCGTAGCTGGAATCCTTCGTTTCATCGTATTGTTACGCTCTAGTTACGATTCGAAGTCGTCAATGGAGGGAGTAACGTGTATTTCCAGGAAGATTAATCGCATAGATAGAACAGATAATCATTTCGATCGATAATCGGAATCGCAGAAAGATCGAGCCATTATTCATCGTGTTTCTGTATTTTTCCCAAATTCCGTAAGGAAAGTGATTACTTTCACGAAGAGGCAACGGTATACACCGTCACAACGTGCCTCCAGTTTCCCTGATCGAACGTTAGACTCGCGGGAGAGGTCAAACCGTCCATCTTCTTGTAAGAGGAGGCGCACCACGCCTATGTTAAATCGTGACTCGATCGAGAAGAAGGAAGCGCCGGTGTTATATTAGCGCCCAGGAACAACCTGATGCGATCCTCCGGGGTATTCACGGTGGTTCGTGAATAGCCCGCGGATAAAGAAGCGAGAAATGCAGGATCGACGAACAACGGGTCGGGCGTTGCGCAATTAACGAGACCAACCGATCGAACTCGTAAGCAACTCGTCGGGTCGACAGGGTCAAATCGAATGATTTTTCGTCACTGAAAAAATCGATACAGCGCCGTAGATGTTCGATATCTTGCGCTTACCTTGCGGACAATGTTGCATCGTGCGGACATCGGAGTGCAACACGATGCAACGCCTCGACTAGGAGGGCGTTCGATGGGAATTAAAATTCTCGTCGTTGACCCGATATATCTGTCTATCGACGGTCGCCTGTTGCCTGATCTCTTCTCGAGAACATGAATTAACGATACGAGTGAAATATCGTATGATATGCTTAAGCTATTTTTTCTTATGTCTTTCTTTCCTCGAATCTTAGAAATCGGTTTTACTTATCACACATTCGTAATGATCTTGAAGATAAATATGTTTACGTATCTTGTAACAATGAATAAAGCAAAAAGTTTGATTTATATCTTTCAAAATCATGCTATCCTGGAGGAAGATGTAAAGAAACGAATGGAAATGAAAATGAAATGTGTACGACGACACGGTGACCATATTAGTTAACGAAATTTTCTTTTCCAATTAAATTTTCTTCGAGATCGAGGTTTGACGGCGAGGTATCATTAAGAAATTTACTTGCCTCGTTGAACGACGTACGTACGATCAAAGACAGAATCTTTCCTGTAACGAAGCTTCGCAAGCTAACCGGGAAGTTATTCGCTAAGAAATCCACTATAATCCACTTTGTTCCAGAGCACATCACATTATAACGCCATAACTCGCTCGTGTGATGCAATTTAACTACCACATCATTACTCCCAAAGTTAAGCCGGTGTAAGTTGGAAATTACTAGTTAAATTGCATATATCCATGCAAGAGCCGAGAGCGCTGTGTAATCTGCCCATGTGTTTATCTATCGGTAGGTAGTCTGCCATATACCGTGGACCCTCTCCATCATCGAGATGGTCACGGAGACCATCTTACCCTAATTACCTAATAATCCGAAGCGATGACCTAACTTTGGCCACGTCTAAGTGGTTTCCGCGTCACAGCAAGTTGAATGATGTATCTATAACTCCGGTAAATTCTAATAGGCATACTCGAAACACGTGCAAACTTGATTATTCTATAATATTCATTCCTTTCGTTTCCAACAGACAAATATCAATTTTAATATTTCCAATAAAAAAAAAAAAGAAAGTAAAACTTTAAATTAAAATCTTCTTTAATTCGATAGAAGGTTGATTTGAACAGTTCTATAAGTAATAAATAACAATATTTTTCATAAACAGAAATTTAAAAAATTTGGTTAAATGAATCTGAAAAAGTATAATAATTATTTACTAAACTTACCCAGCACAATTTCACACACGGCATTACACGCGTAACAAACTCAACCTGACATGATTCCCTTTTTCTATCCGAGTTCTCCTTCCAATAACAGTTTTCTTTTTTTTTTTTTCACGTAAGCATCTTTATACGAGAGGGAAAACGATTGATGGAACGACAGAATCAATAGATCCCGGATGATCCGTCCGCTGCCATAAACAGATCCTACTGAAATCGATACTGATCCCCTATTGATCACGAGGACCGCAAACGCGACGCGTCCTCGGTTTATATCCTTTCACGTTTCACGAACAGCTCGAGGCTGTCAGGTGCTACCGCCGTCAGGACCGTAAAAATGTGCGTATCTGGAGCTGATTTTTCTGAAAACATTCGTGCATCTTGAAAGCCCACTGAATAACCTCCCCTTCTTCTTCTTTTTTTCTTTTTTTTTTTTTTTTTTTTTTTTT